CTTAGGATCCGCGACATTTATACAGGACCATCTCAAATTATTTCTAAACTTTATTCAAAAAAATATTAATAATATATTTCACGATTAATGAATTTTTTTTAAGAAGTTAATAACTATGTTTTGTTGTATCTTTTAAAATTATAAGCTATAATCTAGGAATATATCTAATATTTTAAATTTTTATCATAATTTATCTGTATATTTATAAAAAAATCTTATTTTTTGCTTAGTTTTTTCTTATTTTTCTCTTATTTTTTATATATATTTGGATCATGTTCGACCACTTCATTTACATTTGTTGTTAGATGGTCTTGCTATACTTACATAGTTTTTCTAGTTAGAATTGATAGAGGTCTTACTTTTTTGATGTGTGATCTTTTTTAAATGGTCTATTCCTTAGAAAAATCATCAAGATTATCAGATGGTACATAACTTAATGATAATATCTTTGAATATCTTTATCTTTCTATTTGAAATAATAATGAAAAAATCCAACAATATCTTTAAAATTGCATTTCTGTAAATCAATGAATTGAAATTCCAATTATCATAAAATATCATTAAAACTATTATTTTATTTATAAATAAAAATTTAAATTTATCTAAAATGTTTTATTATATTTTAATGAGAATAATAATATAAATTGATGAAGATTCTAAAACACTTATATACAAAATTTAAATAGATTATGTTGGACACAAATCATTTCTATTTGAAATACACAAAAAAAATAATTATATATTTATCTATCTATATTATTAAAAAGAAGCCATAAGTTATTTCATGTGTGGTTCTTTTATTTTGACTATTCTTTAAAACAATTATCAAATTTTACGTAATTTAATTATTATATCACCCCATATCTTTATCTTTATTTGAAATACAAATGTTTTTGCTTAAAAAAATAAATTTATCTAGATAGCACTATATATTCCTAAAACCTAAAGAAAAAAATATATACTAGACTTTGATCTACAAAAAAATTTCATTTTATAAATATAAAACTTTGATATTATTATAAAACATAAATACATGATTTAAATTTAATGTTATATATATTATATAACTCTGTAATGTTGTTGTTTACTTTTATTATTCGTCATTATTAATATATAGTAGTTTTTTATATATTTTATTTTATATTCTTATTGATTGTTATTACTTATTAAAATAGTTTTGAGTTTGATACATAAATTATAATCTGAAATAATCAAATATATAATCTTTTTAATATAAAGTTGTAGTTTCTGAAATTTGCATACAACACATTTTAAATTTATTTAGATATATTATAGATAGATATTTGTTTATGAGAATTTATATTATCATATTGTGTTTAAAAACGATACTTTAAAATCTGTCACTTTAGTATATTGCGAGATTTTATAAGTAAATATATTGTTATAATTTTTATAAACTATAAATAAAAAGAAAACTCGCACGGTTGTTCGGGTCAAGATCTAATTGAAATTTAAAAGAGTTTAACTCCACTAATAGATGATACAATAAAGCTACAAGGAGCCAAAGCTTAAACAACCAATACACAAATAAGCTTTAAAGATAAAGGTGATATCACATGATAGAGACCTTAAAGATAAAGTAGTTTAGCTTTCTTAGTTCATTCAGAAAATCATTTGTGTAATTATCACACTTCATCTCTCTAAGATTGTAAGGCAAGTATGTCATTATTCGTTCACCGATTTTTAAGTTTTTTCTTCCTTTTGCATCTTTTACAAGTGAACAACGATAATGATTATGTATTAGCTGTTAAAAGAGACGCATAATCCCGAGAGGGAAGAAGAAGCTGAATGATCCGATGGATTTTGGTGAACTCTTAGGTGCAGTACAAGTCTATGGATCGGAAGAATCAGTCTGATGCTATCTTTCCCACTGAGGATATATTTCACATGCAATTTCAGATTTTGGAGAATTTTCAGCTAAGCAAAGTACTTACTAATGCCTATGGGTTTTTGGATTCATAGAGGCAGTTGTGTTGAGCTGTTACAAATGTGGACACACGAGTTTCCATTTCACATGTATACATCTCCCTTATCTTGTTTTATGGCTTGTTGTAATACATCTCCCTGAATAAACATGTATACTCCCTCCCTTAATATCAAAGCTTGGACCGACTAAAAATAATGTGAGAACGTCCCTGAGAAGACTCATATGACTGTAACTCTTTCTTGTTGGCTGAAAATGTGACGTGGAAACCCAATGTGACAAACATTTATACCACAACCAAGACATGTCAGGTTCCTTCATACGTTGGACATCCTTAGTCTCAACTTCATCAAACATATGGCCTTCTTAATTTGAGCCTCGTTAAGCTGCTTCATCATTATTTCTGTAAACTCCGTAACGGTTACATGTTCTTGACTACCATCATGATCAAAAATAGTAGCTTACTCCATGAGAAAGGCTCTTGAATAATCTGTTAGGAACAACCGTCTTGCCCTCACTTCTAGTTCCTTGTTTGCGCCATGGTCTCCACATTTCAATGGAGAGGAAAAGCACATAGAAACCGAGATTGCCAACACCCCTCAATCCTTAGGAAATGAGTCTTGCTTGGGTATTAATTAGTTCTGGTGAAGAGCAACTATAAACAAGACAATCACAAACACTCCATCTTCAGTGTACTTGATCTTTTTCAGTGAGCTGTGTTGGAACTCTCTGGAGATTCAGTGTTTTATATACTTGAACTTCCAACCTTTAGAGTACTTCCTCCATGCGTGCTACACTGCTCAGTTTATGAGCAATTTTTGTTGAGCATAATAGACCAAACCAACACTGAAACTTGTCTACGTTTGTTGCGATTTCACTTCCATTGCCATAAAATCCACGGAAGTTTCAGAGATTACACTCTCAGTTTGTTGTGGATGGAAAGGAAAGCACCAACTGCTGCCAAGTGTGATGTCTTTTTCACCATGTCTGAAGACACTCACCAGGATTCACGATAACTTTTAATATTTTTATTTTATTGCATAACTTCGTCTTCCACTGTCATATGATGATGAATTATAAAGAGATTTGAGAACTTAGTTATTCCCATTCCCGTTTGTTAAGAAAATACATATTTAATAATAAGTATCAACTTCACATCTTGATTCATCCTGGTTTGATTGAATCTTGAAGAACTTGTCAAATAGAAGAAGCTGGAATCAAATGAGTTGAAAATGGGATAACTTCTTCATCATGACTTCTATGAGATTTATTCAACACCGTGGTGAATCTACACAAAATAATGCTTTCAAATCAAGCTTTTTACATCTTGATTCATCCTGGTTGGACTTGATGTAATTATTACATACTGAAGTTTAGATTGTTTATTGTTGATTAAAATATCTAATCACATTCTAAATTTATATTTATGTATGTTCAAATTATTTTTATAGTACATGGACATTGTTTTTAATTTTTAAAACATAATTTATAATCATCTAATTACGCGGACTAGCCTTTATAAAATATGTATTTTGACTAACTACTATAAAATAAGTATTTTTTAACAAACGAAAATAAACCTCTTAAGTCTTCATCATATGACAGTACATGATGAACCTAACTGATAAAATAAAAAAAACCATATTTTCTAATTTATCTTCAAATATTTGGGTTTATCCATACAAAAATATTAAGTTTGCTGATAAATATTATATACTGAAGTTTAAGCTCTTTATTGTTGATTAAAAATATCTAATCACATTTTTAATTTATATTAAGTATGTTCAAATTGTTTTTAAGGTAGATGGACATCGTTTTCAATTTTAATAGAGTCATTTAATAATCACCTCATTCCACGGATTAATCCCTATAAAATATGTATTTTTTGACAAACGGAAAAAACTAAGGTCTCAAATCTCTTTAATCTTCATCATATGACAGTGCATGATGAAGCTATGCAATAAAATAAAATGTTATATTTTTTTAATTTATCACCAAATATGTGGGTTAAAATATGGATTTTCTGATAAATATTATATACTGAAGTTTAAACTCTTTATTGTTGATTAAAATATCTAATCACATTCTAAATTTATATTAATGTATTTAAAATAAAAAATTATGGTACGTGGACACTGTTTTTAATTTATAAAGAGTAATTTAATGATCACCTAATTATGTGGACTAATCCTTATAAAATCTGTATTTTTTGACAAATGGGAATAAGTAAGAGCATCTCCAACCCAAAATCTTATTTTAAAGGGAGCAAAACCTCAAAATAAAGATTTGAAGGTTGAGTACTCCAACCATGAATCTTCAAAATAATCTTTAAAAGTTTATTTAATTGCATTATAGTCCTTGATATTAACAAAAGTTACTAATAAAAATAATACTTCACAAATACATAAAAACATACAATTAATATCTTATAGAACATACAATATTATATAATAAAATAAAATAAATTCATATACAATAAAATAATGTACATACGGACAAATTTTAAAAATTTACATATAAAATACCACTTGTAAAATATGTAATATTTAAATGTTTATATAGTTTTCTTTAATTTATGTTAAGTTTATTTAATGTATTTTTATTTTGTATGAGTTTTATTTAGTGTATGTAAAAATTTGTGTGAATTTTATTTTAATGATATGTAACATTTCTTTTATTTTATTTTGGTGTATTTATATTGTTCTAAATAAAGTTAGTATATATATTTGTGAAAGAAAGTAACCGTAAGAACTAGAAAAAAAAGAAGTGAATAGTAGTTTTGTGGTTTTAAATAGTCTCAAAATATGAGGTTTTGAAGTTGAGGTTTTAAAGTTGGGTTGGAATGATAAAAATGTCAAAATTTGAGGATTTGAGATTGGGTTGGAGGTGCTCTACCATCTTAAACCTCTTTATAATTCATTGTTTGTTAAGAAAATACATATTTTACCGAGGTTATTCGCACATAATTAGGTGATTATAAATTGACTATATTCCCGGTTTAGTTTCGTTTGCAGCTTTATTGAGAGACAAAACATCTTTCCGACCAATCTCAAGGATGAGCATAACGCTGCTTCAAGGCTACTCTTCTTCCGAAGAAGAAGACGCAGAGGAGAGGGATAACGAGAACTCAGACGAAGAAGATGATGGCGTTGAAAGATACGGATCTTCTTCTGTGTTCGATTTCTCTACATCTCACTCCGTTAAAGACTCAGGCCTTCCTTCAGCTAACGACGTTTTCTCTCAGGTTAGATTCTCAGTGAAGCTGAAATGATTTCTTATGATGTTGATTTAAAAAAAAATTTAATTGGATTTGTAGCTTTGTGCGAGTGATATTTATGGTTTTTGTTATAGTGAAAACTTGTTATGTGCGTGTGAACTTGTTTTGTTACTAAGGTAGAAGGTTATAGTGAATGATATGGTGATTCTGTTTGCAGATATCAGGACCACCTGAGTTTCTAAATAACCGTACAGAAGCTGACGTGGAAGCTACAGCTAGAGATGCTGAGCATGCTAAGCGTCTTACCCGCAAAAAGAAGAAAGCTAAACCTAAAGGTATCCTACAACTACTTGATTGCTTCTTTTTTGTAGCATTTTGGTTTATCTAAAAAAATGATGTTAGATTGTAAAGGTATACACACCAATGCCATTCACATCCTCTTGTTTAGGTTCACAAGATTATAGAGCAATAACTCGAGAATAGATTGGGAAATGTTAATTTAGAAGCTTGTTTAGGTACATATTTTGAAATAGCATAGCCAAGAACTGAATAGTTATCTCTATCTAATTTTGTTTCCGCGGTTCTGCTTGTAAAAATATTGTTGTAGTTCCTCAGCAGTATGCCATTAGATATGATAGCTATTTTAGCGTCAATCTCGGAATGTTTGGATAATGATCAATTGGTTAACTTTGGGCTTAAGCAACATTATCATAGGCTTTTATAGGGTGACTAAGCGCTGACTGTTTTGGCTGGTTTTATAGGTGTTGTAATGGAAGCAAAACCTCAACTAGTAGGGATCCATGAGAGAGTAAGAAACGATATTGATGCACCACCATCTTCAGAGAGCGGTGAAAAACGGATATCTACTGCAACCAATCCTAATGCTGAAGAAGCTGCAGATCTCTTAAGGTATATGAATATATATCCCTTTGTCTCTTCATCATCCGAGCTTGATTAGTGTTTTCTTTTTATGAGTTTAGGATGTGTCTGCAATGTGGAGTGCCGAAAACATATACAAACGCGAGAGGAATGGTATGCCCTGTTTGTGGTGACCGGCCATTACCGGACTTGGAAGCAAAGAAGAGAGGCTCTGCGATTAAAGATAAAGAGAAGAGCAAGAGAATGAGAGGACAGTCCTCTCACGCTTCGTGGAAGAGTGAAACAGAGATGCAACTTAGGCAACATTTTGATTAGTATGTTTTCAGAACACTTTCTTCTCCTCTTTTTATTACATTGTTCCATCTGAATCAAGTTTCTGTAATATAACGACAAAGTTATTGATGTTTTAAGAGATTTGTGGCAAAAACAAAAACTGACATTTGTATCTACATAAAGACTATGTATCTCCCTAAACTTGAACATATTACAAAGGCAAATAACATGTCTCATGCCCGGTTTGAGCAACCAATTGTACAAGAACCGGAATATAAACCAGAAAACTATACCAAAATATCATAACTCGTGCTCTCCTCCTGATAAGGCCGAAGTTCTGTAAGCAAAATAAGGCCCAAATTCTCTTTTGATTGTGTTTTCACTTTCTCTGAGTTAAGTTTGATGGGTCATAATCTTATATGGCCCTAATAAAGATTAGGAAAAATACCCTCTTTCATTTATGTGGCCATATCTTTCATGATTTTTTCCCCTAAAATTTGATGCATGAAATTGTAGTTAATAAGTTCTTATTATGTAAAAATAAGCTGAATAAGACCAAATAAAAATAAAAAAATACAATCCAATTGAATTGTAGCAACCATCAACATACAATTATCAGCCACTGAAAGATTAAAATGTTGGCCATCGGCCACTAGAAATTCACCATTTTCTTCATGGTGTTTTTTTTTTTGGTAGGAACTTGGGAGAAGAAGCCTCCCAATATTTATTAAAGAACAAGAATCAAACTACAAACGAGTATGTCGTGGCCGTAATGGTCCATCAACATCCCTCTCAATCTAATAGCGACCTCTAAAGGTGCATCGTCAAGTCTATGAAAACCAAACGGTAAAGAAAAAGCCAGGTTAGCCAAATCATCAGCTAAGTGATTTGCTTCCCGACCTCTAAAGGTGCATCTTCATGGTGTTTGAATGGTAACTACTCCCTCCGTTTTTTTAAAATACACATTATAGAAAAAAATTTGTTTCTAAAAAAATCCATTTTTTACAATTCCAATATATATTTTATTAATTAATTGTAAATTTCGAAAAACTTAATTGCACTAATTAATTTTTTATTAGTTTAAAATTATGGAATGAAAATAAATAAAAAAACTATGCAAATTTATTGTGTTTTATTAAAAAGTGTGAAAAACTAGAATATGGATCTTTTAGGAACAAATGAAGTATTGTTTTTGTAATATAAACAGTATGAAATGAAAATGCAGTGTTGTTCAAATCAACTAAGATCTTGTTATAAATGTGGTTTCAATAGTATAAAACATTTAATACATGCAAGTAACTAAATTACTAAAAACAAAAAAAAAATAACTAAAAAATAACTAAAAAGCGCGTCTATATAAATGGAAATAATTAAATTAATCAAAACGGAAACTCATATATAAGACAGCTGTTCGGTCATAATATAAACCCAACCAAAATCGAGAAGTTTTGTAACCACACAAAAAAAAAAAAAAAACAGAAAGACCAATGGAAAAGCTGTCGTCAACCGCCGTAGTTCCTCAACTCCTCCGCAACATAATCATCGCCGTCGTCGTTTTCGCCGATGAATCTCTCCTCCAAATCTCCTCAAACTCCAAACTCCTCGAGAAACTCCGCCTCTTCCTCGTCGCATGCTTCCTCTTCTTCCTCCGCTCGATTCCTTCCTTCGCAAACACCAACCCGAATATATCTTTCGAGAAGAAGCAGAAGCTCGAGATCGGAGATTGCGTCGCGACGGAGTCAGGTATCGGAAGAGCGATATGGCAGTTACTATTGGCTATGAACGAAATTCCGGTGAATTCAAGAAAATACGAAGTCGTTAGATCTTTAGCGGAGAGACTAATCGAGGAGAATCACGGACAAAACTCTTTGGCGTTGTCTGAATTGAATCGTAGGGTTTTAAACGCGTCGTTTCGGAGAACGTTAGGGAGGTTAGAGGCGGCGGTTGAGAGGAACCGGAGTGGACCGGTACGGAGTGGGTTGAACCGGGTGGTGAGAGCTGCGGTTAGAGTTGTTGGAGATGGGTGGGGTGGGGAAGAGACGGTGGAACAGTCGGCGGAGATGGCGGAGAAGCTTGCGGCGGAGCTGTTTTGGTTGGCGGAGAAGATGTCGGGTTATGGATTTGTTGATGAGGCGGTTGAGAGATGGGCTTTGGCTTCTAACTTGGCTTGGCTTGCGGTTTGGTCTGAACCGAGACTTCAATGTTCCATGGTCCAAATTTCAGGTAATTGTTAGTACATATTACTATTTTTTCTTAGCTTAAATTCGCTGTCTGAAAACAAAATATAGTTCCCAATTCGTTAATTATATTTAGTTTACGTAATTATAAAAAAAAAACTGTTTTTGTAAATATGGTAAATAGAATAATATCTTACACCAATTTGGAAAGAAGAAAAGAGAAATAAGAAACATGATGATGCTCTTTTCAATTCAGAATATTCCCTTTTCGGTAATATATTCGGCTTTTGAGAAATATATATTATTAATCACATTAAAACTTTTATGTAACACTAGTTTTTATAAGATGACGTTTTAAAATTATATACAAAGTTTTAAAAATATTTAATTTTGTTTTCTGTTTATTTTTAAAACAAAATATTATTAATTAGTCACATAAACACAATTTGACCAATAATTATTAAATTTTACATTGGAAATTGAAAGTCATTTTTATTTGGTATATAAAATTATATCATGTAAAAAAAAATTTTTTAACAGCTTTGTATTGGGTTGTACTAATAACGGTCAAAGTAGGGGCCCACAAAACACTAACTTGTTCTGATGATTTGGATCATTGACTTTTCTTTTGTGTGATTTCTCTATGTGAAGCCTTGTTGTTCAAGGAAGCAGCAGCAAGAGATGAGAAATGGATTGAGATAAAGAAGAAGATGCTTATCTCGTGGCTTCCTTTGCTGTGTCGTGCCAGCAACGGAGCGGATAAACCGGTTTTGAGAAATGCAGAAAGAGCTGAGCTAGAGAAAGTGTTGGAGAAGATGATATCAGAGCTAGAAGAAGAGGAACGAGAACAAGTTCTATCACTTTGGCTTCACCATTACACAACCTGCGCTTCCTCTGACTGGCCTGACCTCAATGGCTGTTTTGTTCGTTGGTGTCATTCTTCTCGCAAGCTTTTGCTCTTAAATTGTGATGATTCACAAACCAAAAGCCTAACTAATTAGTAATTAGAATATGTCATATGGGTTTTGCTCAAGATTTCGATATCACTTGTTGTTGGTAGGTAAAGAATACGTATTATATATTTTTGTGCATTGGAAATAATCTATGTAGTTTATGAAAACCAAACCAAAAGCAAACTATAGTCTATAGTAAGGAACCATTTCCAAATAAATAAAATATGTAACACAACCATTCTATCATATAGTTTAATTTTTACTTAACAAAAGAGTTCATATTTTCACAGAGCATCGACCTTCTGCTTCTTCCATCTATAAGCAGCTTCAAGAATCTTGTGTGTCGAAGTCTGCAACTCTTCAGGGTATAGATAATAAGTGTATTCAACATACTCTACCGAACCATCTTCTCCAATTATCGCCTTTCTTTTCTTGAGCTTCTTCGAGAGCTTTGACTCTACAATGCTAACATCCCCAAGCATACCAAAACTCACTTCCATATTAAGCCAATCCTCCAACAGTGTAGCTCTCTCTTCCTTCAGCTCCGGTGTAACGTCTTTGTAATACATGTAAGCTCGTTCAAAAACCTCTCTAGGTCGTCTGATGCACTCTCTTTTGCGTTCACTAGCATCTTCTTCTTGCTCCCCAGCTTCAAACTTTGCAAAGCTAACCCACACTTTGTAATGCTTGGTACGTTCCAAGAGCCGCTCATACAAAGCACGTGTCCTCTCTACTTCCCCTTGTGATATCTCAAAGTCTATGTAAGCTTTCCATACCACCTCGGGCAAGTCGAGAGCAGGCTGAGATACCGCGAGCTCGAAAATACCTCTTGCTCGCTCTGTTTCCTCGAGTGATTTCTCGAACTCAGCATACTTGCACCACACGTAGCATTTCTCAGGAGACCATACGAGATACCTCTCGTATAGTCTCCTGCATCTATCAATCTCTCCCAGCTGAAGTTCGATCTCGATATATTTCTTGAAGATCTTGTCCTTGTTCGGAGCTTTCCCAATCGCGTTCCCTAGTATCTTCCGAGCAGCGGTGAGATTCAACTGCCTGATCTCAAACTGTGCAGCGAGCAACCATATTTTTGCGAAAGAGAAGCTTGCGTGTGGGACAAGTTTCAGACATTCTCTGTATACTTGTCGTGCACGCTCCACATCTTCAGATTCAATCTCTTCATACAACGCATAGTTAACCCATAGATAAATGTATCTTCTCCAGTAACGTTTCTCATTAGCAGGTGGAACGTTACCAATAGCCCTCTCGTAAACTTCTCTAACCCTTTCCTTGTCCCCCAAGGAAGCCTCCTCTTCCTCTAACCTAATGTAATCAAACCACGCATCATAGTTCAAAGGCTTCTTCCTCACTTGCTCCTCATACTCAAACCTTCTCTTTCCGACAATGACGTCATCGATCCCTTCCTTGTCCCCATACTGTTTCTCAAACGCAACAAACTTTCTGTACAGCTCCTCTCCTCTTCCGACACGATCAAGACCAGACTTGTAGATAACCCTAGCACGTTCCACTTCATTGCAACGTTCTTCAAACTCAGCAAAGGCTACTAATATCTCTTCCTCGTATCCAAGATTCGTAACGGCAAGTTCGTACACGTCTCTAGCACGTGCAACTTCACCTCCCTTAACCTCAAACTCTGCGTATTGCATATAAGAAGAAGGCTTCGGATGAGAAAGAACAAATCTCTTGTAGATATCTCTCGCACGTTCGGTTTCTTGATACCGTGACGGCTCGGTCCAAAACGTTTCTAGCTGAGTTGACAAACTTGTTTCTCATCTCAAACTCTACGTACTTGACCCAAACCTCATGGTTCTTGTAATCTTTTCGCAAGGCACGTTCCCACACGCTTCTAGCACGTGCGTAATCTTTTTGTGACTCTTCCCAACGTGCGTAGTTTAACCAGACTTGAATAGGTTGTCCTGGGCGACGGATACGGTCTTCAAACTCCTTACGACGGTTGAGTTTGTAGTCTGAAAGCTCTGCTGAGTCGGTGATGTTCTGCTGAGGTGGCAGGATTTGAGACTCTTGTCTCTCTCGAGCTTCTCTTAGGAGCTGCTCGGCTGTGATTTGGACCGGTGCTGGAGTCTTGTTCTTGACTCGTGTTGGTCTTGGTAGCTTTACTTGTGTTTCTTTAACGAAAGAAGCCATCACGTTTTTGTTTTTCTTTTGTTCGAACTAGTTTCTTTATATAGACTATCATGTGAATTTTTATTTCCTATTCTAGTTTGATTTTGGTAGAAAAAAAAAGGAAAATCGTTTACGCGCGATTTGTGTTAGTTTTTTTAATTGTCTTTTTCCAACTGTTTAGTTTTTTTTCCTTTTTAAAATGGTGGAAATAATAAAAATAAATAAAAAATCCTACACTCAATACGCAGTAGTTTAAACTTTTGGGGTCTATTTTGTTATCTTTATGGGTCTCGGCCCATTTAATATTATTCGGTGACATTCCGAAACAGTTTCGGGGACGAGGAAACAAATCGGACGATAAATAAACAAATATGCACCACAACCATTGAATTCCATGATTCAGACAGATGTTCTTGACTTTGTTTTACTCCCTTTTCTATTTTTCGAAAAGAATAATATATGTGAACATGTCGTACAGATGACTTTGGTATATATTATGTGTGTAGATTAATCAATTTGTTAAAAAGAAAAAAGTGAAAATAGAATCAACTTCACAAGGAAGTGATGTTTGATTATATTATTATACATATATAAGAAGATCACCAAATTAATCGTCTTGTTTTTTTTTCCAAAGAATCATATTCCGTTTGAATTTTCTGGAATATTGTTTTCGAATTGATTCACGTAACATGGTGGTGTTGTAGATAACAGTAGTTGCCTAATTACGTGGTCGTGAATACAAGTTCCACATTATTTTCTTTTCAAGACGAATATATACAACAACGTTGTAATCTCTCCCTATAAAACCTCATCATTTGAGTGCATTTGTTGTAATAAATCAAACACAAAAACAAAAACCTCAACACATGTATAGCCAGAGAGAAGTACGATGCCGTTGCGGTAGATGGATGTGGGCTCAACCGGGCGTTGGTGCTATCCAATGCTCAACTTGTCATACCGTGACGCAGCTCCACTCTCTCGTTGATGCACTCCGTGGTGCGCAGCGCATCATTTATGGGATTCAACAGCTCCGTAGACAACAACAACAACAGCCGCCACAAGTGATGATGGCTCAACGATCACCACCACAGATGATGATGGCTCAGGCTCAGCGGTCACCACCACAGATGCTGATGGCTCAACTGCCACCACCACCACCGCCTAGGTTGCTCGAGGCTCTTCCCTCGCCGTTTGGGAATAAGAGAGCTGTTTTATGCGGCGTGAACTATAGAGGGAAAAGCTATAGTTTGAAAGGTTGCATTAGTGATGCAAAGTCCATGAGATGTTTCTTGGTTCAACAAATGGGTTTCCCTATTGAATCTATTCTCATGCTCACAGGTTCTTCTTGTCACTTCTCTAAAGCCACTTTTATTTCCCTAAAAATTCTTCACACTGAATTTTAGGACATGGCACAATAATGTTTCGCCGGGTCCCAAAATTCAACACTAAATTTATTTAAATATAATAAATAATACTTTTATAATATTTCTGATGAATTTTAGGACCTAGCACGATAATGTTATGCCGGATTCTGAAATTCGACACTAATTTTTTTTAAATATAAGAAATAATATTTTTATAATATTCATGATGAATAAAAATACATTCATATAAAATACTTTATGGGATCCTTTTTATTACATTTTTATATAAAATATTTATTACAAAAAAATTGGACCCCTAATTTTTAAGATATGGAGAGATACTGTTCCGGACGGTCACACTGCTTGTCCCCACTTAAACTGGCACTGATGAATATTTGCTGTTGTTGCAGAAGATGAATCCTGTCCGCAGAAAATACCAACGAAGAAAAACATGAGAAAAGCAATGAGATGGTTAGTTGAAGGAAACAGAGCAAGAGACTCACTTTTCTTCCACTACTCTGGTCATGGAGCTCAGCAGAAGGACTACGATGGAGATGAGATCGACGGTCAAGATGAAGCCTTGTGCCCTTTAGACCATGAGACAGAAGGAAAAATCATCGACGACGAGATTAACAAGATACTCGTGAGGCCATTAGTCCATGGAGCTAAGCTTCACGCTGTGATCGACGCATGTAACAGTGGGACTGTCTTTGACTTACCCTTCCTTTGCAGGATGGAGAGGTACACTAAAAAAATCTTTATGCTCAATTCTACTAAGCTAAATCTGAGATTTAAGAGGTCATAAACATTTTTATGACAATTTGGAGGCCATGCAAACATTAAAGTCAAGGCGAATGTTTCATGCGGCTATGTCCAAGAACTGGTCCGATGAAAGTTTTACATGTGTGTGAAAAAACAGGAATGGTTCTTATGATTGGGAGCATCAAGGATTAGGGAGAATTTACAAAGGAACAAATGGTGGAGAAGCTTTCTGTTTCAGTGCTTGTGATGATGATGAAGCCAGTGGTTACACTCCTGTATGTTTTAAAAATACTTATAATATTGTTTCATTGCCATACAATACATTTTGTTAACTAGATCATTGTCCTTGTTGTAGATGTTCACGGGAAAGAACGCAGGAGCCATGACTTATAGCTTCATAAACGCGGTAAAGACAGCAGGATCAGCACCCACGTATGGTCAGCTTCTTAACGCTATGTGCTCTTCGATACGCGATGCTCAGTCTCGCCTCACTAACACAGACTCTGATGAGTCCTCGGTAAGTAACTAAACTTGTATCATCTGAAACTTGCATTGTTGTGAATGACTGAACATTTTTTTTCTCTTCGTTGTAGGAGCCACTGTTAACATCATCAGAGAAATTCAACATATATGCGACAAAGTTTGTGCTCTGAAGACTGTTTAAAAATACAAAAATTTCATATTCTGCAAATAACTCGGAAATGTTGTCCACATAGACCCCTACTTTTCTATGTATCATGTAGTGGGATGCCTGCAGCAAACTTGTGAAAGCTGCAACAAGTCTCTTCTTTGTATTAATAAACCTATGATTAGTAATATTAATGGAATAACTGATTTACTTATAGTAATTGAATAGGAAATGAAGATGTACCAACATCTCTTTTTTTTACACATATAGTACTAGAACCTTTATCTACCAACATCTCTTTTTTTTTTTTAATAGATTGGGGCATATTGTAAATGGAAACAAAAGAAACCTCTCGATATATGTAGACATAATTAGACGATAGACAATGAATTGCTTTATTTAATCGAATTATTGCCCAACTTTTGTAAATTTCGTCGCAAAGGGTAGGGAAGATTCCAGGAAAGTTGACTCTTAATCTTGGGGATAACGTATGATACATGCTAATTAAAAATGGTCGTATACTAAGACTAGTACATGTAGTGTGTAAGGGTTGGTCTTGTGACCAAATCAACATGAAAAACTGGTCGGTCGATCCACGGCAGGATAACCTCGATGTTTGTAACAATATCTGATTGATTATATTAAAAACTATCAAATCTGTTATTAATATATCAACTTGACAACTTTGTTGATTGTTAATTATTTTCTTCTCTATAGCACTATATTTATATATCATGTAGCTATAGACCCATATAGTAATGATACCCCGCGCGACAATGCTGTCATAAATTGTTATAAAATAGTCTATATGTTATATTCTTGCTTCCTCTGTGGTTTAAATCCTTATGTGCGCAAGACACACCACAATGGTTAGTTGGTTACGTGCGTCTAGCTAGGTTTGGATTATTTCCGTAATAAGATGCCAGAGAGAGTCGTTTGGTTTGATGAGTAAGAGTACGTGAGTTTATCTAGAATTAGTACGAGTCGAATGGTCCATGCTTTCTTGTATGTTACATTGAATTCCATTATACTCCTAATGTGTTTGGTTACTTATATATCCGCTAAATCCAAATAAGCTGAGGCTGTCAGGTCGAGTGATATGAAAGACAAAAAATGTTAAGAATTTTTATCGTTTGAAATTGTTCATATAAATCCAAATGCAGTTATGAAATTATCATGTTTAATTATTTCTTTGTAATTTTCACTATTGAGCATGCCATTAACGTACTAAGCAAATAAATACTTGATTTTCCCCAATAGATTATAGACATACATAACTAACCATGATCTGTACTCCAATAAAATATACAATTAGTTAATCTTAATATTATTGGTGTATTATTACTATAACTTACTTTTATGGCATGTCACAGAATTAATACCCATAATTAATCAAAACATACTCTTTAATACAAAAAAAATCAACAAATATAGTCAGCCATGATGTGTAATTCAATAGTTTATGTTAATAATGCATATATTTATTTACATATGCCATAGTCAAATACCTAGTTTTTCATCACTATCTACTTATAATTTGTACGGTTCGCTCCGTAAAACCTTCACTGCATTATACTAATCATGTTACACAGTTGTTATATTTTTCTAACGCGTAAAAGGTAAAAAAGAAAATATTTAAAACACTCGATTAGCAAAAGTGGGTCGGTCGACCAACAAATCCCTCCCCTAAAGTCAAAAGTTAGGAACTAGAGGGGAATGTGCGTTTTTAAAACTTGTAAATGTTTATGGATTTATGCAAACTATATAATAACTATTGATCGAGTCGGCCAGCTTTGTTGACTAATTCCCCATATATACAGCATGCATGGTCCTTTATGGAAAACAAAAATCGAATAAGCTTTGCTTATATGCAACAAATGGACATCAATATTAAAACACTCGTTTCATTTATGATTTAGCAACTAGTGGTCTAGTAGGGTACGTTACGGGTCAAATATTTTTCCAAATTCATGAATTTTGAACCCCTTAACTTTGTTGTAGATTTGACAATGTATAGCATTTGCAATAAATGAGTGTGTAAGGTATAGGTCACAACGTCACGTACAGAACTGAG